TCATTATATTAGTCATTATATTAGTCATTATATTAGTCATTATATAAGTCATTATTTTTATCATTATATGAATCATTATATTTATGATTATATGAATCATTAAATTAATCATTAAATGAATCATTAAATGAATCATCATTATATCAGTTATTAAATAATTCATTATATTAATCATTTTATTAATCATTATATTAGTCATTATATATATCATTATATTAATCACTATATTAGTCAATAAATTATCAAGTATATCAGCCATTACAAAAATCATTATATTAATCATTATCTTTGTCATTATAAAAGTCATTATAAAAGTCATTAAATGAATCATGAAATGAATCATTATATCTATCATTATATGAATCATTATATTAATCATTATATTAATTATATTAGTCATTGCATTAGGCATTATATGAACCATTACATTAATCATTATATGAATCATGATAATAATCATGATATTAATCATTAAAATCTTCATTTTAATAATTATTAAATTAATCATTAAATTAATCATTATAATAATCATGATGTTGATCATTTTATGAATCATTATATTGATCATTTTATTAGTCATTATATGATGGTTCAATCATTATATTAATTAATATATTAATCATTAAATCAATCATTATACTAATCACTATAACATTCATTATATTAGCCATTGCATTTATCATTATATTAGTTATTAAATGAATCATTATATTAATCATTTTATTAATCATTTTATTAATCATTACATTACTCATTATATATAAATTCATTAAATTAGTCAGTATTTTGCTCATGATATTAATCATTGTATTCATCATAATAGTAATCATTATATTAATCATTCTTTAAATATAATCATGATACTAGTCACTATAAAAGTCATTACATGAATCATGCAATGAATAATTCTATCTATCATTAAATGAATCATTATATTAATCATTATATTTATCATTCTATGAATCATGATATTAATCATTATGTTAGTCAATGAATGAATTATTATTTCAGCCATTACATAAATCATTACATTAATCATTTTGTTAATCATTATATTAGTCATTATAAACATCATTAAATGAATCATGAAATGAATCATTATATTTATCATTATATGAATCATTATATTAATTATATTAGTCATTGCATTAGGCATTATATGAACCATTACATTAATCATTATATGAATCATGATAATAATCATGATATTAATCATTAAACTCTTCATTTTAATAATCATTAAATGAATCATTTTATTAATCATTATAATAATCATGATGTTGATCATTTTATGAATCATTATATTGATCATTATATTAATCATTATATTAGTCATTATATTCATGAAAAAAGTCATTACATTAATCATTATATTAATCACTTTATTAGTCATTGTATAAGTCATTAAATGAATTTTGGTTTTTCCATGGATTTTTTTTGCAGTTTGGCTTGGGGTCGCAGGTGTGCAAATTGTAGAGACGCGCATTTTTTTGAGAGGTACTGTGATGAAAGCATCTTCACATGAAAAACATTCAAAACAACAATGGAAAAAACAAAAAAAAAGTTCAGACCCATGGGCAAGGTCTGGGGAGAGGCCTGGCAGGGGACATGGGTCTGAACTTTTTTTTTTTTTTTGTTTTTTTGGTTTTTCCATGGTTTTTTGCAGTTTGGCCAAAACCTCAAGAACACACAAAAAAAAAATCAGACCCATGGGCAAGGTCTGGGCTATCCACACACAAACCAAAAAACCAAAAAACCAAAAAACCAAAAAACCAAAAAACCAAAAAAACAAAAAACCAAAAAACCAAAAAACCAAAAAACCAAAAAACCAAAAAACCAAAAAAAACAAAAAAACCAAAAAGACAAGACCCAACACTCTGCATCTGACCCCCTCCCCTTGGGGTGTGTAATCTTGTTTTTTTTGTTTTTTTGGTTTTTTTGTTTTTTTGGTTTTTTGGTTTTTTGGTTTGTGTGTGGATAGCACAGGCCTTGCCCATGGGTCTGAACTTTTTTTTTTTGTTTTTTTTTGTTCTCGAGGTTTTGGCCAAACTGCAAAAAACCATGGAAAAACCAAAAAACCAAAAAACCAAGAAACCAAAAAAACAAAAAACCAAAAAAACCAAAAAAAACAAGATTGCACACCCCAAGGGGAGGGGGTCAGATGCAGAGTGTTGGGTCTTGTCTTTTTGTTTTTTTTTGTTTTTTTTGGTTTATTGGTTTTTTGTTTTTTTGTTTTTTTGTTTTTTTGTTTTTTGGTTTTTTGGTTTTTTGGTGTTTTGGTTTTTTGTTTTTTTGGTTTCTTGGTTTTTTGGTTTTTTGGTTTTTTGGTTTGGATAGCCATTGCAGATGTGCCAAGCAGAGATTGCCAGGCACTGTCAGTGGTTGCACTAGAAGCAAGGTCGATACACCACAGTACAGCAATGTTTGCTATGACATAGTGCATTCAGCCAATGAACAGCAGAGAGGAATGGAATTCAATTTTGTCCGGTTGCGCCATATGCTGTTGGATCTTTGCACAGGAAATGCTGCAATTGGCGCACTCCCACAGTGGCCTGTTCTGTTTTTTTACCCAGTAAATTGGGACACACCAAAAAGTAAAAGCACAAGACATATCAAGTTTGATTAGATTCTGATTAGATTCTGATTTGATCGGATTACTGAGGCAGATGGCAACGGCCTCTCACAACATGGCACAATGCGTCACAACATGTGCAGAGCAATTTTGGCTGGCGCCAGGTGTCAAAAGGTTCCGAGAAAAACCACATCGAACTTGCCAGAGCTCGCTCCTCAGCTTCAGCTTCAGTCAGCTGAAGAGTTGGCTTTGTTTTTTGTGTCACTTTGTCAAAATTTGCAACAGTTTGTCAGAGGTTATTTCGGTTCTTTCAGTTATGTTGCTTTTCTTTGATGATTTAGAGGGATCTCAACGAAGTCGCTGCCGTGGTCATGGGCCTTCTCTTTGTCGCCTTGGACATTCAACGAGAAAATGATGTTGCGAATGATGATAATTTACAACACATCACAAGCGTACAGAACGTAATAGGTTCTTGGCAACATCACGGGGGGTCGTTGAGACGAAAGATGCGAAAGTTGAGAAACGATCAAAGTGGTTTTTGATTCTGTCCGAGTCCTCTTTCAGGTCGATAAACCACACAAATGCCCGAGACCCAATACTTCTTGCAAAATCTTGCAAATTGAAATCACAGATGTTTTCACATCTTGTCACAAGACGATGAAAGTCTTGCAGCTGGCTTGGAGGACACTTCAGCAAGCTTTGAGCGGCGCCTAGTTTGTGAGAACCGAAGAGAACCCAAGCTCTAAATTTAGAGTGGATTCAACTGGATTTTCATGGTGGTTTTCCGCACATATGGCATCTTGATGTTCAGCACTTCCCCCAAGGGCAGTTTGTTGGAGCACTGATTGCTTTTGTGAAGCAGTAGCATCGGTAATTCTCCTCGAATCGAGTTGCTTAGCCTCGCGAATGGCAATGTCTTGAACAAGGAAAGTCTCAAAGTCTCATCTCGCCGAGGATTTTGGATTGAACGATTTGAATTTGGAAACGTGTTTGATGTCTCGTTTTTTGGTTCAGTTCGGCGCTTCGGTTTTGGTTCTCCCAGGCCACTGGAAAAGTTCCCCCAGCAGGAAGCCGTCGGTGTGGGCCTCGTGCACAGCCAGTGAAAACCCGTGAAAGATAGATGGAACATTTATATTTGAATATAGTTATTTAATAGAGTATATTTTTATCCATACACTGTCTCCATCTATCTATGTCTATCTATCTGTCTATGTACTTATTGCAAACATGCAGTTTTCCTGATGCATGTTGCGACATCATTGCAACAACGAATGCAAGACTGTGAGCTGCCTTGTCAGCTTGTGAGTCTTGGAAGATAGTCGACATTGTTCGGTTTTTTTGAAAGGTTGGTTCAATTCCGACAAAGAATCTTGGAGAAGTTCTCCACCATGAAGTCGGCCTTTGAGACGCTGGATCCTTAGAGCAATGAGAAAGCTTTCCCAACTCACAAATTGACTAGAATGGCAGTGGTTTGCTGAAGGAGCTGTGGTTGGTTACAAAGGATCCTTCATTGCTTGTCCAATTTTCTTGCTACATATGTTTCGGATGGTGTCTAGTGCTGCAACATTTTTTTTGTTTGGTGTTAGACATTGGTTTCGGTAAAACCTGTAAAACTTATTTGACTTTGTTTCTGGGTGATCTGGGCAGGTATGCATCGGAGCATGGTCCCCACGGCGCCACAAAAGAACTCAGCAAGAAGGAGATGCTGAGTTTGGAAGATCAGTTGTGCATAAGCTGTGCAATGCTGTGCAATGTGCACAGTTGTGCTACATGTTGTGCCACATGTGCATATTTGCCATGGTCGAAACTTGGGTAAATTGCCCATGTTGGTGGATGGTCATCAATCCATTAATTGGGATTTGTATTCCCATGACAAGGATTCCCGTCCGTAATGGATGGCCATACCACATATACCATGATTTGACCATAGAACATATGCAACTAGATGTCTCTCATTGCCTTCACATGCAGTCCCTGCAGTACACTCTGCAGTACATGGTGCAATGCACGTTTATCATATGTGTTGCTTGACACGCTGAAGACACGTTGAAGACACGTTGCAGCTCGTTCTCTGAACTTTGACGGGTTGGATGCGGTTTGACGCTGTCTGACGCCTTGGACGTAGGAGTTCACACGTTTCTTGGTGCGACACTTTGTCGGTCTCCCAAAGGAGGACCGCTGCTAGGAGAGTTTCTGGTGACACTGCGAAGCACAGCAAAGTTCTGGAAGAGCTGGCAAAGTTCATTTCCTTTTTGATTTTCTCTTGTCATCTCTTGTCATCTCTTGATTTTGTGTCATTCTTGCGTGTTGATTTTTTTTAGCTTCTTGACTTGTGGACAAGCTCGGCTGAAAAAGCTGGTCTATTTCCAACTCTTACACGTGAGTTTGGCCTTACACTTGCTGCTATTTCACAATCTCAAGCGGGGAAGGGGGAGGCGTACACGTGGACACTGCGCTGCTTGGCACTGTATATATTAAAAGAAGAACATGACAGTGGCACTTGTGCTTCAACCCGCTTCAACCTAGAGTCCTGCATCCATTCATTGAGCTGTAGCAGAGCCTTCATTTTTGTTTGCGGTAGGACCTGGTAGGGTAAGGTGGACAGAGGAACAAATTCTAAAGGCACAGCCGTGTGAAGTGCCACGAGGTGTTTGCCAGCTTCGCCACCATGGCGGGGGCATCCGCAGCAAGATCCTGAGTCGTTCGGAGTCGTTCGGAGTCATTCCAAGTCCTGGTCTGCAGCAGGGGCACTGGAGTAGCCTGAGAAGCCTGTGGATGACCATGCTGTTCATCATCTGTTCATCCATGTCTGCAAGCAGAAATTTTGCACTGAGGTTTTTATAATGGACATGAAGGGGAAGGTGATAATCAGTAATGACCTCAGACGTTAAAACTGGCACAGCCGGGTGGAGAGGGACGGCCTTTTCAGGTCGGAATTATAGAGGCGAGGTGCCAATGAACATCACCGAGAGGCAGCATCCTGTCCGATCTTGACAAGCTCCGAAGTTGAGCAATGATAATGACACGAATGACACGAATCGCACGTAATGACGTAGACGTGGATGGTAGTTGGTCATGCAGAAAAGGCCAAAGACTCTTGTCACCATGCGCTGGTCCTCTTCCATTTCTTACATCTTGTATGCTCTTTGAGGTTCATCCTGTGCGTGTAAATTTCCTAGGCATGTAGATCATTGACGTTAGACTCTGTTAGACTGTGGCAAAAGCGAAAGGGAACCTCTAACCTCTTGGGTTGGCACTCTGCGTAAAAGTGTATTTACGATTCTGTCTCAGTCACATGGTCCGAACATGTCGACACATGTCCTAACTGTGTTTGTCGACACACATTCAGTGAAGTTTTTGTCAAGTTCTTCTTCGCATCACATCTGGTGTACCGCCTGTGCAGGTTTCAACAGCACGTCATAGACGCTGAGGACGCCACCACCAAGCCAGTTTTCTGTGAGGACTGCCAAACTGTTACATAGCATTCCTGGCCGGCCCTATAATTGACTAATTGACCTCAGAAAAGAATTCTATAAATAAATCAAATCCTATGAATCTATAGATTCCTGTAGAATTGCTTCGCACACTTTCTAGCAAGAGGCCTAGATTGAAGTCAAGTGAAAGCTGCAAGATGCTGCAAGCAAATGATCAGCAAATGAGAGCAAGCTACAGAGCTAATCGGTTAATGTAATCTAATGTCATTCATAATGTCATTCATAATGTGATCTAATGTCTTAGTGCTCCTAGTTACTCCTAGTGACTCCTAGTGAGCAGAGGACGGCATCAGTTTTGCCTGGATCCAGCAGCTTGGCAGCCAGAATTGGCACTGACAATACCTGGAGAGATTCTGCTTGGCAGTCCGCATGCTATTTGTCAGTTTTGCTTTTTGTGCTTTTATCTGCTTTTTTGATATTTGTTTTTCCTTCAATCAGAGCTCAGGTACAACAACCTGTACTTGCTAGTCCAAGCCTCGCCATTTGCAGAGATCTTCATGCAACCTCAACATGATGCCATTTCAGATGCCCTTTTAGCTTTCTGAAGTTTTGACCTGACATCCGTCCTTTGATTTGTCGTAAGGCTGTCACTCAGAGGAACTCAAATGCAACTCTGATTGTGGCCTTTCTCTACCGCTTGGCAGAGGCCCGGGAAGTACCAAAAGCTCGCCAGTAATATGAGGTAAATGGATGTAAATGGCGCATGACCACATAGAATGACATACGATGACGTACAAGGAAATATATATAGACTTGTTTTATCACGAAAGCTAGCGTCAGCTAGCTGGAGTCTTCTTGCTTTAGCAAGTATTGGGGGGGCTGCTCAAGGACATCACGTGATTTTTCACGCGAAAGGGGGGCCCCCCCCCCTCCCCCACCACCACCACCATCACCACCATCACCACCATCACCATCACCATCATCATCATCATCATCATCGTCATCATCATCGTCATCATCATCGTCATCGTCATCGTCCTCTCCCTCGTCCTCGTCCTCGTCATCATCATCATCCTCGTCATCATCATCATCATCATCATCATCATTCATCATTCATCATTCATCATTCATCATTCATCATTCATCATTCATCATCATCATCATCGTTATTCAATTACATTTTATCATTATTGGCAATTATTGTCATTATCACGAAAGCTAGCGTCAGCTCGCTAGAGCCTTCTTGCTTTAGCACGTATTCCGGGGCTCCCCAAGGACATCACGTGATTTTTCCCGCGAAAGGGCCCCCCCCTGCCCCCTCCCCCATATATATCATTGTTATATATCATATATCAATATATCATTGTTGCATCCTCGTTGGGACGAACAATGCCGCGACACGATGATGACAGTCCTTCCGCAACTCACCTCTTCCCTTCCTTCTTTCTCCTACCCCGCTAGCTTTCGTCATCCACCCCCGGCCTCAAGTGACACCATGACGGGAACAGTGAACTTCATGAGGGGAGCAAGATGAAAGTCGATGATAATCAACATGGAGCTTGTGCAGTTTGTAGAGCTCGCACAAAGGAAGAGGGTGGATTCAAAGATCTATCAATGCATATCAATTTGATACCAATGCTATCAGATTCTTTCAGATCTCGTTTCAATTGATTCAATATCTTTCAAAAAAAGTAAAAAGATTCGAGTTTCTTTTAATATTTCCTCACCCGCGATTCGAGGGTCTCAGGGCGAGTCGGCCTCGCAGCGGGCGCAGGTTCTCAGAGATTATTTCAACGAGCTCGAAGAGGAGAGCATAAAGGACCCGGTGACCCATCCATTCCATGCCCATTCCATGCCCATTCCAGGCCCATTCCTTGCCCTAGTCAGCAGTCAGTTGCAATGAGAGGACAACTTTGTCATCACCTATGAGCTTTTAGATGAGATGATGGACAATGGTTACCCTCAGACCACCGAGGCTTGAAATTGGACCGCAGTTTTGGCGTTCACCACTTTTCTTAGGCAGCGATATTCTAGTGTTTCACGCTCAGCCAGGGCAGAAAACATTAACCTCAATTCTTGATGAACAATTCATGCCACTGGCCCCTGGTCTTGAGTATCAAGGAGCAAAATTGGCAGTCCTGAAGTGTCATGAAGTGTGTTGAGATCATTGATTTTTGTTTTCTTGCAGCCTGATCATTGCACGTCACACTTCTCTTGTCCACGTTTTTGTCTTTTTGTGGATGTCACTATATAATTATAAGAGAGCAAGAGCCAGCAGGTGAGTTCCAGGGTGGCCAGGGTGGCCGTTCTCCACGTTTTTATTCAGTTGTCACTCGGTTTGCAATTCAAGCAGCGCAAGGTCAAGATTCTGCGAGAGTATATCAAGACTCAGTCTCATCAGCATCGGCCTCAGTGAAGCTCTCAATACAATGAGAAACGTCAAGAAACACAGGATTATTGAAGGGAAACCATTGATTTTGGAGATTGACATGTACCAATACAGCTCTTGATGCTCCTCATTTTTTTTGAGCCTTTCTGGAGTTCGGTCCTATCTTGCATGGCCGTTTCAGATGCAAGAATGATCTAAAATCTTTTGGGCAAAGTGCAAAGACAGACTAGAGATGACAAATCAACAGTCCTGTAGCACTCTGCTTATTTTTGCATCAGCCGCTGGGAGGGCTCTGTAGAGTTCCGCCTGTCCAAGGCTCTCGGTTGAGCAGATGAGACCGCCAACCGCAGTAACCAATGCAGTGACGGGGGCCACAGAACAGTGACAGACAGATACAGAGAATGTTGCTTTTTGTTGCGGGACATTTGCTTTTTGTTGTACCAGGATTGTACCATCTTGGGATTCTGCAGATTCATTGTTTCAACTTGAGGACGAGCGATGCCGGTGAGTCAGGTCATTGAGAGTTGGTGTTTGTGTCTTGAATGAGTAAGGTCCTGGCGATCTGATGGCATCAAACACAAGAAGAACGAGATCTTCCTGGATGTCGCCCCTTCCTTTTGTAACAAGGGGTTCCGCGTCACCCAATCTGATGGCATAGAACATGCTGCTCCATATGATGTGCCCTTGTCAAAGCCTTTCACTATGCCCTGAAGTGGCCCTGAAACATGGCACAGAAGCGTGGCACTGAATGGCACTGAGTGGCGCTGAGGTCGAACGTTTGAACCTCTTGGTTTCTGCGAACGGCTCTGTGCTGCGATCAGAGATCTTGGGAGCTCTGAAGATGAAGCTGCAGCCTGAGCCGAAGAGTGTACCGGGTACAACTGGTACACTTGCTTGAGGTGGATAGGTTAGGGATACATAAGGTGCATAGGTTACATAGAACTGTTCTGCGTTTGACGAATATGTAGTACCTTGTAGTAAGGTGAAGTATATAATACATGCATTTAGTAAAAAACTCATTTGCCACGACGCTCGTTGTGGCTGAAAACGAGGTAAGGAAAGGTGTTGTTTGTCACACCTAGGGTTCAATTGTGTCATGTCTATCTTTCCTGACTTTTCCAACTTCAAAATTTATCTGGCAAGGTCTTACCTTTCTGGAATGCCTGAGCTGAAGCTGGGTCTGAATGACAAGCTTCTGTTTGAGGCTTCATGTGGGAATCGTGCACAAATTGAACACACTGCGAGTCATGAATCAAAGGAACTTAAACTTTTCAAACATTCGTGTCAATTCAGCGAACCCCCATGGATCACGATGACCAAGTGAAAACAGCACAGCAAAATCTATTTGTGTCAATTGATGTCAAATGTCGTGTATCTGTATGCCGCAAACATAATTGTATATAATGATACTTTGAAATATACATTGTTGCATAGTTACATGTTACAGTATTATATACTACAGTATTATGTTGTATCTGCACATCAAATGTGAGATCAGGCAACTGGAAGGCCTGTAGCCAAAGGAAAGTCAGTGGAAATGGAGGCGCAAATTGTGAAGTGGAGAGCTGACTCGTCAGGCTTTTCCATTGAGAATTGAGTTCCAATTTTTCCCATCACTAAAAAATGGACATCTAACGAAAATACCAGTGTCTGCAGTGTCTGCAGTGTCTGCAAGTCTTGCCAGGACATTAAGTTCCACCAGTGTGTGCAGCTTGCACGCTTTGAGAATGATCGCACTATATCTTTCATTCCGTCCAGAACTCAGAGTTAGCCAAGTGTGTTTCAGAAGGCTCGACACAAATGGCACCAACTTTTTTTGAATCGGCAGAGACGTCTTGAATCATCTGCATCTTTCATGTCTTCTCCGAAACCCTGCTCCAATTTGAAAGCCCGAGCTAGACAGTTTCTGACAGTTTCTGACAGTTTCTCAGGCCAGATGGTGAGTTTGAGCTCATGAGCTACCGGCTGAACACGCATGTCAAACCTTTGATATGGGTAGAGGCAACAGAGTTTGGCATGGCCTTTTGAAAGTGCTGAGTGCATCTGAATGCAATAGGAGAAAGTTTGGGAAAGCAAACCCTTCTTCTCCTTCTCCTTCTTCTCTTCACATCTCTTCTCTTCACTCTTCTCATCTCTTCATGTTTGCTTTGCCGGTGTCAGGCCGTGGTGGATCCAGGTCACTCGCGGTCGCGGATTGAGTCACTTGGTCCGAAGGTGTTGCGTCCAGCATTTTTGTGAGTCTCGGCTTTGCCTTTTGATGCCTTTTGCAATTGCGAAGGTACATGATCAAAGCAAAGTCCCAGTTCAAATCGTCCGGATCCCACTGTCAACCTGAACAACTCGCCTCCATGGCAGATTCAGTATGAGATGTGAGGAGATGTCATGTCGAAATGTGTCCACTTCGCTTTGAGGCGCAGCGTTGCAAACAACGTAGAGATCCACATTCCGGTGCCCTCGGACGTGGACTCGCCATCCTTCAAAACGTCCATTGGCACTGTGAGATATATCCCAGATCAGGCGGCCAACGCTGCAACCCGCTGAGTGTTGGCAGTGCAAGGGACGGTGTTCACTTGTCTGTAGAAGATTGTGGAAGATGTGGAAGGACCTTTCTTTTGGTTGTATCTGTTCAAAGCAATTCAACAATGGAAAAAGAAACAATGATGTTTACACGATGTATTTATATTATTTTATATTATTTATGCATCGAGGTACATGGTCTAGTGAGGACATTGCCTTGCAATGCGTTTCACATCATTTCACCATGAGTTTCGGAGAGCTCCAGGATTGTATCGTGTGGAGCATCAAGCAGTTTCAGGGTCGGGGGCACAGCTGCAGCCTCCACCTCGATGTCGGAACACAACGACGGAAAGGTCAAAGATGTGTTTTTTTCTTGCACTTTTTAAAATTCACATTACGTCCCTGGTCGACATGATTTCTCACTGTAATGGTTTCCACATTTGCACTTACCTTCTTGGTTCCTCTGCATTCGAACTTGAGAGGTCAAAAAGACTTCATTATGACGGCCAATTTCGGGCTACCATCTGTCGGTGCAGAGAACAGAGATGCCTACATGAAGGACCTGGTTGATGCATTTGATGCATGTGTGTGACAGTCTTGTGCTTTCCCAGTGTGAGTAGATGTCTTGTATTTACTTTGATACTTTGATATACTTTGTCATTCTCATTATAACCAACCAGTGTGGCAACAGTATGCAGCCTTTTCTTGTCGACCCAACTGCAAGGCGCCCATGTCGGTGAAGTTTGAAATCCCTTACTTTACCGTGTCGGGTGTGACTGTGAGGCAGGGTCAAACCCAGATGAAACGGTGAGAACTGTGACACACCGGGGCATCTGGCTGCCAGGTATCTGAAGATTGTGGAGAAATCCGGTTACCAGGCACTGGCTTAATAGATCTTAATAGTAATGGAAGACTTACAACATATTTGCCATATGTATGTATACATATATTATAATATGTATAGATGGATGGATGGATGGATGGATAGATAGGTAGATATATAGATAGGTAGGTAGATAGATAGGTAGATAGATGGCTGGATTGATGGATGGATGGATGGATGGATGGATAGACAGATGGACAGATGGGTGTTAGGTAGATAGATAGGTGGGTAGGTTCGTAAATAGATAGATAGATGATGATATTGTTTCAGTTGACATGCTGATGTCCTGCTTCCAGAAGCTGTGAATCTGGTTCTTCTTTGAAACGCGCACTACTTATTTGTTTCCTAGGGTAAAACGTCACATAGAGAACTTGTGAGGCGCTCCCTTGGGTGCGATACATCACCCAGAATGGTGACTACCAGCTTCGAATGGCATGGACCTAAATGTGTTTGGAAGTGACGACATATGTGCTTTGCAGGCTCTGCAGTCCTTGAGAACATCAAAGATCCGAGATCCGAGTTCTGGTGATTCCTTGTGAACCGTGTGAGGTGTAAAAGCCACCATGGCTGGTGTCTCAGCTTTTGTTTTATTACGCCCACCCCGAAACACAGACATGAGTGAACAGACTCCTTTGGCAAAAGCTGAAAAGAACTAACATGAGCTAACATTCCATTATGGTCCTACACACTCTATACATCTCTATATAGTCTTTACATTTTATGACTTTTTGCAAAAATTATCACTTCCATTCTCTCACGACTGCTTTGATGTTCCGTTTCAGGATGCGCCTCACAGTAGCGCTGGCTGCGCTGTGCAGCTGATGTCTCATGTTTCTCATGTTTCTCATGTTGTCTCATGCCAATGCCGCGTGCAGAACTTGGCGCCATGAGGATAATCTTCGAATCGTTCGAAATCACGCCATTTGAGATTGAATTATATTGATAGTTCGGTTGTGCTATAGTCGTCTCTTCCAAGGTCTCTTTTCGTTTCAAATCCCGTACTTATCTATCTTAAAATATCTTAAAGGCTTTGCAGCACACGTTCAGTTCAGAGACCTGTGGATTTCCTTTTGCAAGTACTCAACTCATTGGCGTAAACGAAACGGGACCTTTTGGAAGAAACGCAGTAAAGTCAATCAAGTCAATAAAGTCAATAGACCATGATAGACTCTGATAGACTCTGATAGAGCATTCTTGTTTCAACATGTTTTTGGTTGACAAATTTTATTCAAAGCTGATCCAAAGAGGAGCGTTGCATGGCCTCAGTGCAGCTCGAGTTCTTTCGAGCTCAAAAAGTGTCGAGAGCTGTGGATTTGCAGATTTCGACGCCTCGGTGTGCTTCGCACGGCTGCAATTCGCTTGAACGAGCGCTAGCTAATCAGCTTGCAGCTTGCAAAAAGATGCAAAAAGATGCAAAAAGATACGAAGATCAAAGAGGGTCAAAGAGAACTCAGCTTACTTTGTACGATACCTTTGCCTTGGTTCGCATGCTCTTACCATATCTATCCATATCTTACATTATTTTACCTTGCATTGTTTTGTTCAATTCATTTTCCTAAAAAGAGTGAACTTTGAAAGACTAAAGCATTAGTGCTTCCAGGAGCATGGCAAGATTTTTGAGTTTCTTGACCACGACAAGAATGGTCTGGGCCTTGATCAGGGTTTGTCCAGTGACAGAAGTGACAGCTCCTGCGTTAAATTATGTTAAATGAATATAAATGAATCGCATTGTTAGATGATTTCAAGATCTTCAGAGAACTTCGGCAGGAAGTGGATGCTCAAATATCTCAGATGCTGTTCAAATGGGACTCCATGTAGCCGTGTAGCTGCTATGTAGCTGCTACAACGCAGCTCTACGAGGCTTGGTGTCGTTGGATGAGTTCCACACGGCGATTGAAGCTGCTGCACCCGTGAAATCCCTGGAGGAGAAGGGTTTTCAGAAACACAAAAAACAGGTATGAGAAGAATGGTATATACATGTATATATATGACTTGTAACTTTGAAACATGGTGGCCGTTGCTCAAGATAATGCCTCCGTGGGTGCCTGACCTTTTGCGGTTGTTGTCCCTTGGTGGCTCCAGTCAGTGGTTTGGGCTTGCTTGTCCGGCACATTGTTCTCTGTCGTGGCCATACCTTGCTGCGATTTTTGTGTCTGGTTTGTCACTTGGATTCCTATCTGCTGTCCTTGCTTTTGGAATTTTCCTCTGGCCTTGGATTTGCGGTCATCCTGCCAACCTTGTGACTCCAACCACCATTCAGGTCCCTCAGCCCACTCGCCTTGCGGCTTACTTGCATGAGCGCACTGCACATTCTTATCGCCACGATTAGAACAGCTGTGCTCTCATTGCGTGCTCTTGCTGACAGCCTGGAGGCTGCTGTGCGTCAAGCGGAAAGACAACCTCAGGATCTGGAAAGAGCCTCTTCTCCTCCGGCTTCTGATTTTGGCTGGGACCGCGTGTCCTCAGCCCCTTCTGCTGAGCCTGAACTTCCAGCCCCAGGCCCTTTGCCTGGTGTCCAATTCAACAACTACGACGCGATTGCTGGCAGCCTTACAGGAGCTCCTCCTGCTGCTTTTGATTTTTGTGGCCGACTTACTGGATCCGATCAGTCAGTGCGCCAGAGGATTCAAAGAGCTTGGGAAGCAGGTTTGTGGGCTCGTGCAACTTTGGAGGGGAAGATTGAGAAGCCTAGACCAACTCCAGCTCTCAACATCAAGGCTACGATCTACGTGGTGCTTCGTGCTCCTGGCCTTCTGCGTCCTGTTGCTGTCACGAGTGCGGCCGAGTACTACCGAGTGCTCCCCAGGTTCTCGCCTGGATCAGTGTCCCATTCCTTCCCATCTCAGGGAGAAGCAAAGACCTACTGCCTTGCTGCTGGAGTTGAATTCCCTGCTCTTTTGCAATAGCGATGGCGACTTCAAGCGGATCAGGCCTGGAACTCAAGAGTGTGAAGACCTTGGACAAAGGGCCATTGCTCCTCCACATTTTGCAGCTCCCTCAGTTTCAGTTGGAAGATCAGGCTGTGGAGCCTTTGGAAGTTTTTGCTGTGCCTATCTTCACACGAAAGAATGGCCTGCTTTTGGCGCTTCCGATGAACTCCATCCCAGAGGAGATCATGCTGTCCGGCGTGGATCCAACGGGAGACCAACTCTTAGGGCCTTGCACAGTTGTTTCAGTGAGCCTTGCAGCAGAGGAGGAAGACGGTACAGAGGTGACTTTAGACATGGAGACCGAAGTCATCCTAGCAGACTTCCATATGAGCATTTTGCCCCGGTTGCGGCAGTTCGATCCTGTGACCGAAGGACAGGATGTTCTCAAGTTTTTTGGGGAGGACATCGATGTGATCCCCCTTGCAAGCAGCCTCCTGGAGGCAGCAACTCACTGGGTGGAGGGTGCAGCAGCCGACCGGTTGACCTTTTACTCAGCAGACGAGGGCCCATCTTTGCCTGCCCCAGCACATCCTCGAGCAGTTCAGGGCAAGGCAAAGGCGAAAGCCTCATCAAGGAAGGTGACTACGGCCACTTTGTCAGAGCAGTTATCGTCCCTGGCGCAGGCTATCCCTGCTATATCATCCCAGCTGACGGATATGCAAAGCAGGCAAGACAAGATGGAGGCGCTTTTGACGTCACCCGGGCTTGCTGCACGGAGAATGCCTCAGCGGATGGATTTCGAAAAGCCTCCAGCGACTCCAAAGCCTATGGGCAGCATGCAGTTTATGAATGCGGTGGGGCTGCCTCCCAGGGTCAGAGCCTCTCCTGGGCCGCAGCAGCATGGTGGCTTTCCGGAGGACGAACCAAATGTTCCTTTGGAGGAAGAGCCGGAGCTTCAGCCGGACACTGCCGATCCGATTGTGCAGAGCCTCTTCATTCAGCAGAAAGCGTTGACCTCCCTTGTGGCTCACTTGACGCAGGATGGTCTTGCAGATCTAGGAGGATCGGGGGCCTCTTCAAGCTCCCTATCTTTGAAGGGTTCGGCAAAGCGCGAGAAGCTCATGGCAGACCTCTCCAGTCGAAAAGGAAGCTTCCTCCTAAAGGTGGCCCAGAATGCCTATCGCAGGCTCAAGCCTACGGAAGTGCTGCCCCCAGATCTTCCCAGCTTTCAAGGGAAGGCAGTGTTCACAAAGTACCTGGAACGCCAAGGAGGATTTGGAGGTGCTCAACGAGACCTGGGCTTGGTGATGTGGTTGCTTGCAAACGTCGCCGACCAGATGGTTGCAGGCGACCAAAAGGGGGCTCAGGAGATGCTGGCTTTGACCTTGGTTGCGCTGGAGCAAGTTGCCCAGGACGGAGGGAAATGGGAAGTAGGCTGGCTTCTCTCTCTCCAAGAGGATCCTCCCTCTGGAGTGTTTGCGGCGAGGCCTCAAACAACAAACCCTCGCCTGCGAGCGTTCGCACCGTTGTGCCCGCCCGAATGGGCCACCACCGCACTGGCTTTTGTCAAAGAAGCCGACCTGATCAGCTCAAGGCGACAGGAAGCCCTGCCAGGGAAAAAGCAACCAGGCGGAGGTCAGAAAGACGAGAAGGACGAGTCTTGGAAGAAGAAGAATCCAAGATATGCCAAAAAGCCCAAAGCGGAAGAGGCATGAACTATGAGGGTGAGGAAGGGGGTTGCTGCCTTGAGGAGCCTTGCAGTCGCCCCTCTTCCGAGCCTGATCAAACAGTCCTATGTTCCGGAGTTAGCCAACGTGCCCTCTGCCAGGACAAAGCTGAAATTAAAAGTCAGTGCAGCTCGCACGATGAGGCCTGTTGCAGTGATGTGCAAGCAGCAGAGGAGATTCCATCTTGGGGGTCCCTCCAGTCTATTTCTTTTGCAAGTTGGACTTCAACTTTGTGCCGCGACGTTTTGAGGACGAAGACTCCTTTTGCGGCTTTTTTGAGGTCTTCCCTTTCTGTTCGCAGATCCACCGAGGTAGGATCTGACAAAGCCTTGTTTCCTCTACCTGTTCCAAAAGAAGGGATTTTTGTGGATTGCAGCAAAGGTGGCTCACGTTGCAGACGGAGGAGAGCTTTCGACAGAGCGCTCCATGTCATTGTTATGGCCCTCAATTTTTGGCATGCAGATTTCCGTTTTGTTCCCGTTTCAGAGCTATCAAAAATCCCTTCATCTTCTCAGAGCAGGTGTCTGGTCAACATGAGGAATCTTTTGAAGGCTTGTGGTAACTGCCAGGAGCTTGTTTCAGTGCCTAGCAGCGGCCGCAGAACAACCAGTTTGACCGCCCAGCTCGCTGATCTCTGCGAGTTTTTGACATGGCAGGGGGCCCCTGCAGATCCTTACCGTGGAGGCTTTCAAGGTGCAGACAGCGGCCTGGCTGACATTTGGATTCAGCCTGACAAAACAAGAGATGAGTCTCTGACCCCATACCGCAGTTTAGATGCAAGCAGACTGAAACTCTCTGGGTCTGGAGCTTGGGATCCCACTTCCTTTTTAAGTGATGCTCTTTGGATGGCCTACGTGGAACCAGCCTCTTTGATGTTTCGCTCAGACCCTGGAACCCTTGACGTGCCAGACCTTACAGAGGAAGATGGAGATGAGGTGCTTGCGCTTGCGAAAGTGTGGGATGCTAGAGGCTTGCTCTTCTTGGTGCATGATCAGCCAGACATGACTCCTACCAGCATGCGTTTCTTCAACTGCTATAAGGCCCAGCAGGTGGACCGAATGATTGGAGATAGGCGTGCAAGAAATGCCATCGAGGGCATTATTCCTGGTGCCTCTCGGGCTCTCCCTACGGCAGTTTCCCTGGCTTGTTTGGAGATTGATCCTGCGAAGGAGAGGTTTTCGGTTTGCATTTCTGACAGAAAAGATTTTTATCACCAGTTCAAGGTCTCGCCGGAGAGGGCAAAGACCAACGTGTGCTATCCTCCTCTGCCTCTCAAGGAATTGGCAGACACTTCAGCATTTGCCGCTTGGGCTCAGGATTTTGCACTGAAGAAGCGAAAGAAGTATGATCGGCTTTTGCATGGTGATTTTTTAGGCAAGGACAGAAAACCTCAGCCAACGTGCGATGTCTCTCCTGACACGCAAGTCAGGGTCTGTTTTGCAAGCCTTCCCCAGGGAGATGCCTTAGGCGTTGAGTTTGCAGTGGATAGCCACAGAGCGTTGATGGCTTCAAGGGGTTTGCTGCCTGAAATCAATGAGCTTCGATCAGACAGGGTTTTTCGTGGCGACAAAGATCTTTGCGGGTTGGTGATCGATGATTTTTACACTCTTTCTATTTTGCCTGCGGAGAGAAGTGCAAATGAGGCCTCTTGGGCATGTACAACCATGCAGTCAGCTCAAAACCTCTACCAGTCTGAAGGCCTACTTGGGTCCAGTGAAAAGGATGTTTATGATGCTGACTTTGCAAAGGTGACAGGTGCTGAATTGGACTCTTCGGAGTCCACCAGAGCTTTGGGCTTGGCCACTTTGGCATCACCCTGGAAGAAGCGAATGTCTCTCTCCTTTTTGTCCTTGAAGCTCGCGGCGCTGAAGTACACTACAGACAGTTTGCATCTCTGCCTTCTGGGAGGTTGGGTTCATAGCTTGCTGTACAGAAGGCCGATGATGAGCGTTTTGGCCGAGGCTTTCCATTTGGTTTCAGCACAACAAGTTGATCAAGAAAAGCCCAGGGTTATCCCATTGCCTAGGAAGGTTGCACAGGAGTTGACCATTTTGGCAGTTTTGGCTCCACTGATGACCACAGACCTTTCAGCAGTTTTGCAAAGTGAAGTATATGCCACAGATGCCTCGGATGCCAAAGGAGCTATAGTGAAAACCCATGTCACTCCTACCCTGGCACGTGCTTTGTGGAGGTCAGGGCGCAAGAAAGGAGGATATGTTAGGATGCTGAGCAGAGAACAAGCTTTGGTGCAGAAGCTGGATTTTTTGGCGGAACAGTTTCCTGAAGAGCAGGATCGCGAGGCCACTTTAGGCCCTCAAAAACCTTTGGCTCTTCGCTTTCACTTCATTGAAGTTTGTGGAGGCAGTGGAAAGGTATCAGCATGCGTTGCAGAGCGAGGCTGGGTGGTTGGACCAGTCCTTGACCTTGATCGGTCTCCCCACTATGACTTCAAAAGCCTGAGAGTCCTTTCATGGATTTTTCACCTCCTGGAAGAAGGGCTCTTAGATGCTTGCATGTTGGAGCCTCCCTGCACGACGTTTTCCCCTGCACAGCATCCGGCCAGCCGAAGCTATGAGTTGCCCCGAGGCTTCGATCCCACTGATGACAAGACTCACCTTGGCACTACGCTGGCTTTAAGGGCCCTTGCAGTTTTGTGGAAAGCATGTCAAGTTGAAGCTTTAGCTCTCCTGGAGCAGCCCCGAAAATCCAAAATGCGTAGGTTGTCAGAATGGGAGTTTCTTGTTGCGTCAGGCCTTGCACAAGAGTTCATCACTGCCTCATGCATGTTTGGTAGTATTCACCTGAAGGAGTTTGTCTTTTTGGCTTGTGGCTTGGAAGGTGAAGGTTTGTGCCGGCGCTGTAGCAAAGACCATGAACATGTCCAAATAGCAGGTCAGTGGACCAAGCCTTCCGCGACCTATGTTGATGCTCTAGCGCAGGAACTTGCAGAGACTTTTCACAAAGCACTCCTGAGAAAGCTTCGTTTTGAGCACACGTGGAATGACAAAAAAGGAGGTCTTGAAAACCCCCTGTGCAATGATGTGTTGCTCTCTGCTAGTTGGAAGCCTGTTCGAGCTTGGAGATGGCCCAGACCAAGACACATCAACATACAGGAGTCTACGGTAGTTGAAGTTTTGCTCCGTCAGTTGGCACTAGACACCCCAAAGACACGTCAGGTCATTGCCTTGGACTCAAATGTTGGCCTTAGTTCGCTTGTAAAGGGTCGTTCCTCTTCCAAGGGTCTTCAGCCAGTCCTTAGGAGGGTAGGAGCTACGGTTGTTGTAGGATCTCTGTATCCAGCCTACCATTTCTCTCCCACCCGTTGGAATCCGGCAGATCATCCAACACGTGATAATGAGATGCCCGAGCCCCTAAAATCTGGACTTGACCAAAATGCCGAGCTCCCCGAGCTTCTGGACTTTGCTCGAGGTGAGTCTCTTCGCAGACCCTACGCAAACTGGGTTCGACTTTTCAGCCTCCTGCGTCCTGGCCCGTATCCTTGGTTCTCAGTGTCTGAAAGCTGGCGTTTCATGCACCACAAGCTGCGTCATTTCCCTTTTCGATATTCCCTGCGTCATGTGTGCCAGGACTTCTCAGTTTTGGACTTCGACTCGACTTTGGGCTTTCCTGGAGAAGGACCTTCTCTGTGCCTTTGGATTTGGATTTTCTTTGTCTTTTTGCCTCGGTCTCCGGGTCTGGGTTCCTCTGTCGCTTGGACTTTCCATGTCTTTTCTGACCCTGTTTTTTCGTTCAGTGGTCCTCTCCGTTTTGGCTCTTTGGACTATGCCCTGCCTTGGACTATGCAAGCTTCCTGGAGTTTTGCCTCTCTTCAGCCTGAACTTCCTCCTAGCACTTCGAAGCCTGAACCCTGTCGTTCTGTCCGTCCGAGCCACCAAGGGATTGTCTTGTCTGGATTTTTCCGGCTGTGGACTTTGCGTCTGGTCTCCTTGGTGTCTGTGTTTGAGTGTTCCTCTGCTGCGAGCCATGGCGTCGCTGTGCTTCCTCGAGATGCTGGTGACAAGAGGCGAGCTGCGAGTCGAGGGATTCTGGAACTCCCAACTGGAAGGCCAGTCCTTGGCCAGACACAGAAGCAACGTGATGTTCTTGTGGCTGGTTTTGATGAATGGCTAAAGGGTGAAGGTTTTTCTTTGCAAGAAATCCTCTTCGTAGCCGAACCTGATGTTGAGACACTGAATATACAGCTGGAACGTTTTGGACGACTGCTGTATCGCGCAGGCAGGCCTTACAATCACTACGTCGAGACAATCAATGGTCTGACAGGCAAAAGGCCGCGAGTCCGCAGATTGCTACAACCTGCGTGGGACCTGGCCTATGCTTGGCTCAGAAACGAGCCGCCAAGCCATCACCTTGCCTTGCCTTGGCAAGCACTGCTCTCAATTTTGAGCACTGCACTTTTCTGGGGATGGCCGTTGGTTGCAGGCATCATAGCATTGTCTTGGGGTGGGCTCACAAGGATTGGAGAAGCTTTGGGTGCCTTTCGCAGTCAGTTGGTTTTACCACAGGATGTGGAAAATACCAGCGATTTCATCCTCCTCCGCATCGATGAGCGGAAAACACGTTTCAGGTCTGCAAGACATCAGGTGGCAAAGGTGGATCAGCCGCAGCTGGTCAGACTCATCGAAGTGGTCTTCCGTGATCTCCACCCAACTCAAAAGCTTTGGCCTTTTTCAGGACAGACAATGAGGACGAGGTTTCAAAAGTTGCTTGAAGCGAACAAATTGGACACCCTGCCTCAGCCTTACAAGAGAGGTTTGGACCTTGGCAGCCTCCGGGCTGGTGGAGCCTCTTGGTTGCTGATGAGGACAGAAGATGCGGAATTAGTCCGCAGAAGAGGCCGATGGATTACCAACAAGGTGATGGAAGTATATATCCAGGAAGTTAGCAGCTTGCAGTTCATGCCCAACCTGCCCGCACAGACAAAGAAGCTCATTGTCTCAGGAGTCGAGTTTTTTCCTTGGGTCCTTGCCCGCGCAGAATCTCTGAAGCAGGCGATGATTCCCGAGGTTGTGTGGCCATATCTGCTACGAGACGATGCGGTCGCTACGGCACTGAATGGGTGAGAAACAATTGGGTGGTTGCACACTTTTGCCTATAGCAGGCCGTGTGTACCTTCCTTTGAGCAGATGGGAAAATGGAGCGGCCTGGAGTTGAAACGTTGACTTGTAACTTTGAAACATGGTGGCCGTTGCTCAAGATGCCCTTCCCATACATATGTATAGACCCACCCAGCACGTCTCATAGCAGGGGTGGTTGCACACTTTTGCTTATAGCAGGCCGTGTGTACCTTCCTTTGAGCAGATGGGAAAATGGAGCGGCCTGGAGTTGAAACGTTATATATTGTATACGGTGTAAGTATATATATATATATATATACACATAAGATTAAGCAACTCGTATATGAGGCTTACACGGAGGCTTGAACGGAGGCTTGAACGATGCAATTCGTCAGCTTGGGATGTTTGGAGGACTTACGAAGAAAGTGGGTGGCCTTAGGCTATCCTTCCATGCGCCAGGCCAGCATTGGGCATTCGCAGTGTCTCCAAGTTTTCCCCAACAGCAAAACTTTGCTATGGGGTCTTTAGCCCAAATTAGCTCTGGTGCGATCCGGTGCAGCCTCAACACCAGGTTCTGGGCAAGGTTCCGGAGGGTTCCGGAGGGTTCCGGAGGGTTCCGGAGGGTTCCGGAGCAGATACCTGGTGAGGTTTCGGAGGGTTCCGGTCCAGATACCTGTTGAAGTTCTGGAGGGGCTTCCGGTGTAGATACCAGGTGAGGTTCTGGAGGGTTGAGGTGCAGATACTTGCTGAGGTTCCCTCCGGTGCAGATACCTGGTGAGGTGCGGGAGGGTTCCGGTACGTCCAGATAGCCGGTGAAGTTGCGGAGGGTTCCGGTGCAGGTACTCGGTACGGTTCCAGAAAGTTCAGGTGCAGGTAGCTTGTGAGGTTCCGGACGGTTTCGGTGCAGATACCTGGTGAGGTTTTGGGGGGCTCCGGTGCAGATACCTGTTGAGGTTCCCGTGCAGATAGCCGGTGAGGTTTTTCAGTTCCGGATAGTTCGGGTGCAGATGCTTTGTGAAGTTCCAGAGGGCTCTGATGTTTTTAATAGCATAAGCATTTTTTTGGGCAGAAGCACTTAAACGCAGTATATGATGCATTCAAATACTTGTAGATTTACTTTGCAGGAGGGGGTGGGCAGGTAATGGCAAAAAAGAAGTCAGTGCATACATGGTTCGACCAAGCACTGTGCAAACCGAATCAAAATTTCGAAGGAACGAAACGGCAGCGTAAAGACAACAATCTTTAATTTTTTTTGATACCCCACTCAATCTTAACACATGCGGGCTTGCAGACGATTGACAAATAGACGGCCGACGAAAGTTGAAGAGTCATTTCGAAGCATTACGACATCGTGGGTTGGAAACAGCAGAGGCATGGGTGACAGCGACTCAGTAAAAGATGTACCAGTAAGACGATTGGCGTCGAATCAAAGTACGATTGTATGCAATGCACAAAAACTTTTTCATGGCTAAATGGTGGTTTTGCTTAGTGGCCCGTTTCTCTGTATTTCACACTGACAGTCAGATACTGATGGTGATGATTGTAAATGCAGACAATACGTGTGATCAACGTGCTTTGCGTTGCAACACTGTAGAAAGACAGTTTTATCATGAAGCACAAGTATGAGTATGAGATTAATGTCCAAAACCAATCATTGCAAAAACTAGACCTGCAAGAGACGTTGGCACACGAAAACAACTGACAACACTGAATTCGACGCACAACCTGTTCGATCAAGCGCAGCGCGCACCAAAACAAATGTATGACAAACAACACGGCAAGGCAAAGGGAACAATCTCAGGACAAGCCGGGGTGAGAACCTTTCAACACGACATGACCGCAAAAACCTGCAGCGTCAGATTGAAACATCACGACATAAAGAAAAGCAAGGACAAAGGCGGGAAAGACTGACCCGCAAAACGTGTTGGCAAACAGCAACAAGTGACAGTGCTGAATTTGACGCATAGTCAAAAGCGGCTCAAGCACGCACAGCGCAAACCAAAGCAAAAATATGAAGGATAACATGGCACGCTATATAGAGCAAAACGACGACCGCAAAGCCTGAAGTGATATATCGAACGGCGAACTGTCACGACAGCGTGGGTTTAGAGAAACGCGACGACAAAGGTGGCATGGACTCAGTGAAGTGGCAATAAACGCAAAACCTGACTCCCAACCATCACCCTGGTAAATTGCACGGGTGACAGGCGCAGGGACCAGGAATCTGACAATCAATCCGCTTCAGTGCACCGGTGGCAGGCGTGCACACCAACATTTTTAAAATTAACTTGGTAAACTGTACCAAGGGCGGGCGCAAAGACCAACAGTTTGAAAATCAATTCGGTTAATTGCACTGGTGGCAGGCGCGGAGAGCAAGGATGCTACTTGATCCAACCATCGCTCTTGTAATTTGCAGGGGTCCGACAATCAACCCGCTCGACTCCGCTGGCAGGCGCGGACACCCGCATTTTGAAAATCAACCTGGTGAACTGCCAGGCGGCAGGCGCAGTGCAGAGACCAAGGATCTAGCCATCAGTCTGGTAAACTGCACGGGTGGCAGGCGCAGAGACCAGGGATCTGACAATCAATCTGCTGAACTGCACCGGCAGCAGGCGAAGAGACCAAGGATAGGTACAGCTTTTCATGGGAATGTTTCATATACCTGTGTGCAACATCATTGCATGGTTTTATGTGTATGCTTGTATGCGTATGCTTGATTGTATGATTGTATGTGTATGCTTGTATGACAATGTGCGCCTGATGTCATGATGACGATCATAAGACCATTTACGGTTAGTAACAGCGTGTCATCCAACATGATTGCGTTTGTATCAATTCATGTTGGTTGCTTGTCGAAGATCCAAAAGTAATTCTGTTACCAGCAGAAATGAACACATCAACACCTAAGTAGACACCGTGAGCACTTGCACATTGTATGTGTATAATGCTTTCCAGGGCCCGGATTCATTTACCAGCGTGCAGCACCATTGCGTGGTTGTATGTGTATGATTGTATCTATATGATTGTATGACAATGCGCCTATGATGGTATCATGACGATCACAAGACCATATACAGTTAGTAACAACGTGTAATCCGCAATGATTGCGTATGTATGACTTCATGTTGGTTGTTTGCCGCAGATTCATAAATAATGTTGTCAACAGCAGGGCCGAATTATGAACACAAAGGTGTGCAACGGGAACGCTTGCACATTATGTGTTTGTACTACTTTTCATGGGAATGCGTCACATACCTGTGCAACATCATTGCATGGTTGTATGTGTATGCTTGTATGTGTATAATTGTATCTGTATGATGTATGTGTATGATTGTATGACAATGTGGGCATGATGTCATGATGATGAGCACACGACCATGTACAGTTAGTAATGCCGTGTCATCCAACATGACTAAGTTTGTATCAATTCATGTTAGTTGAGATACCTGGTAAAGTTCCGGAGGGTTTCAATGCCAATGCAGATACCTTGCTAGGTTCCGGAGGGTTCCGCTACAGATACCCGTTGCGGTTCTGGAGGGTTCCGGTGCAGATACCTGTTGAGGTTCCTGGCCCTGGTTGTTTTACCATTGTGCAACACCATTGCATGTTTGTATGTGTATGAGTGTATACAAAGCAAAAATTTGCAAGCTGTTGGGGATAGCACCTGAATTTATTTGTCCTTTTCATCACCTTCAAACCTGCAGATCTCAGTGTGAGGCCCTCCTGAACATGGATCTCAACAAGGATCCGGGTAGGCAGAGCTGCGCGGATTTGACTGTTTTCAGTGTGGGAGTAAAGATGGCTTGGTTTACACTTAGTTTACTTGCTTTCTCTCTACACTCGTCGACACTGCTTGCCCTGGATTCTCCCAGTCATTTGCTTTACCCTTTCTCCCTGTGTCTCTGTCTCTGTCTTTGTCGAGGTCCTTCACGGTGCAGGAGTTCGGTTCGCTCTTGACGCGCGTAGGTCTTGAGTCCAGACGCATTCTGAAGGTTTGTTAAAGTCTCTGAACGTCAGATTGATTTAATATGTTTCTCATATTAATGTTTAAACAATGTAATATTGTAATATGGAAATGATAGATATCTCGATCTAAGTCTTTGACAGTAACTTGCTCAACTCGGTTGCCACAGAGCATGACAAAACTGACAAAACTTCACAGGTGTGGAAGACGAGATCGAACACCAGGCAGGAGAATGCCTTGAAACGCCCGAGTTCCAGAATCAGATGGGCTCCATTTACCATCATAAACCATCATAAACCGTCATAAACCGTCATAAACATCCACATGATGATGCTGTACGAAATGCGTGTGTTGAGTCTATTGCATGATGCGATCGGCTGCAAACCATGTGGCCAGAACCTTTTTGCGGCCATCCGTGACCCTCACAGTTGGAACCAGACCGCTGCGTTCTCGGGCTTTGCCAAATTTCGAACATTGTCAAACAACCTATTTGATCTATTTGCTGCTTCAACTTTGATGTCAAGGTTGTAGTGGACAACTAGGGTACGATGGTACGACGCGGTATGATAAGAGTTAGGATCCAATTCCATGAACAACACTCCACAGCCCTATGGCAAGCACCCGCAAAGTGAAGGACTGAACATGTATGCAGCTGTATGCAGCTGTATGGCTGTATGCAAGTGCTACCACATTGCAAGCAAGTGATTGGACGAGACGAACATGGTAGTGTAAGGCAACGTGGATGTTAGTGGATGCAGGCTACCGATTCACCGATTCAGAAATGATTCTCGCTCATTGATTCACGTTGGACTTGCCTCGCTCTGGCTCTCGCTTATCAGGTCACCTTGGAGATGCTCGCTGCAGCGATGAGTGCCATCTCTCCTTCGTTGCTGCTGGAGGAGATTCTGTCTTTGGTCTAGTTATTCTCCATTCATATCAGTTCATATCAGTTCATATCATTTTCTCATTCTATTCTCACTCATTCTCAACAAGTATCATTCAACGTGTAACGTCACAAACATCATCAATGTCACCGTTATTC